TATATATATATATATATATATACATATATTATATGAACACATGAGTAATTAAGACGCAGTGCCACTAGTGCCGATAAATATTAGCTGTTAGTCTATATATGAAAGTAGGAGTATTATTTATTTATGCATATGTGTGTGTGTGTGTGAGAATATAATGTATAATAGCAAGAGGGAAATGCAGAAACGTGGTTGCACCCCGCGATATTGGTTATCGCTGCTTCGGCAATCCCTTTGATCATTGGAATTTTGATGAAATTCTCCGATGTTCCAGCTTACCTGGCGTCACGTCGTGGCTCTCGCGATAGTCAATGCTCCAACGTATCGAATATTAGTAACGAGGATGTTGGTCCATTGAATTTCAACGCTTATCCGCGTAGCCGACGAAGAAGGACTTCCAATTTCCTCGAATTACCAGGTATATATACTTTGTAAATTAATTTAATATATATATGTAAATATATATATTTTATTTCTACATTAAAGTCAATAATTTCATATATTGATTGAATATATAAAGTTTTATATATTTAATATATTATTTTATAATATATTTATTTAACATGTGAAGATGTTTTATTTTCTATATAAACATTTTAATTATATTGCAAAATGACAAACTAATTTTCATGATTAATGGATAATAATAAAATGAGTGTAATTATATATCATTTATAGTTAATAATATGAACACATATTATAATGATAATTAGTGAATATCGTTCTTTTTTTGTCTTGTTTAGATTTTTAACAAAAATTTTTTCATTTTCATTTAATCTTTATTTTATCGTCAACGTCAAATATTTGAAAACTGAGATTAATCTCTAATAAAGCTTTGAAATATGAGAACTTACTTTTGTCTAACATGAATGAGAAATAATTATAGAGTAAATATTTGTCGTATAGTTTTTGAAGCAACATCTATGTCAACTGCTGTAATGTTTACCCAAACGTAAATTAAACGATAAAGTAGAATACTGCGATGTAAAAGCCAATATGGCTTAATTATAAAATAGATAGTTAATGAAATCGGTTATTAGCAGGAGATCATACGAATATAAATAAAAGCTTATCGATGCGATACATGATGCACAGAGGTATATGTATTGTGCATAAATTTCAATGAAACGATACTAAATTATTTATTGAACACATTTTTATTTGTTTGTACGTATTATATTGATCGTTTATTCATATGGGGAGGAGGAAAAAAAAAGGAAAGGAAAAAGAAAAAAAGATTATTTGAAAAAAGTATAAAATACAAAACTACGGCCATTAATAGTAATGGGGATCGCAGAGAAAAAAATTGAGACTATTTTGTGGATGGAATCGAGAACGATAAAAACTTAAGCATTATTGCTTCTCCGTTATGCTTGAAACGTTGAAAATGCTTATCAACTAGAATACCGAGTTGTTTGCATTTAACAAGAATGAGATAGGAGTTTCTGAATTATCGAGGGTATCATTACATGGTTATCATGGTCAAATGTACAAAGCTTTGTTCCTTTTCCAGAAAGATATAACAATTACAAATATTTTATTACATTTTTCTTTTTATTTTTATTCATGCTCGCGACAATGTATATTTCAATGTTTTCATATTTAAATGAATAATTTTCGTGTATCTATTTATTAAAAACAAAATTTTTATACGTTGTTTATTATTTTGCTTGGAATATTTTTCATACAACTTTTATGTACAATAATTTTTAACCTAACGTATATAATTTATAAAATATTCTATATATTTCTATTATATAGCTTACCTTTTATATACACATATTTTCACTAAACTGGAGCTGGATCAATATTAGCATTTTATGTTGTTTCTTTTTTCGTAAGAATGTCGAGAATACTGACAAAAGATCTTACAAAGCTCAAGAAAGATGGATCTCATTTTTACAACATTCCCTTCTTTTGTTATCTTTCTTTTTAAAATATTTTTCTTCCTGTCTTATTTAATAAAAAGGAACATGCAGACATGATAGACGATTATAATTAGTAAATAGTTTATGATATGTAACAATATTTAATAATATTATATGCTAACAAATTTTTTTTATGTCTTTTTCTTTTTTTTTATTCTTTAATAAATTTAATTTTAATCTTATTCACAGAAAATGAATGAAGCTTCGTAATCTATTCATTTACTATGATATAAGATTTGTTACCGGAGGCAGAATTTTTCATAGAGAAAAAAAGAGATGAACGAAAGAAAGTAAAAACTTTGACCTCCATTCGGACAAAAGTAGTAATCATTCAAAATCGTTCGTATTACGGTCGTTGCACAGAAGAAAAAGAAACGGAATAAAAAAAGTGTGGTAGAAAAATGATGATTGCAGTAATCACGCATCCTAAGTATATATGTGTATGCACATAAATAAATTGATTTAAATCATTTTACGATAAGATTGAATCAGTCATTATAAAGAATAATTAGTTTTTTGTTCTTTCTATAAATGAAGATAATTATTAATAAAATATTTAAACTTTGGAGAAAAGTATTTCTAATTTGGTGGGACACACAAAAGTTGTCACACGTTAAAAGCTCATTGTTAGTTTGTACGTTTATATTTATTCGAATAAAATCATTCTCTTTAAAATACAGGGTTTTTAAAGTACAAGAAAAATTTGTTTTCCACGATATTACTTTTTTGATACCAATCGAAGTATGTTTTACAACATTTTTCATATCATTAAAAACAAATAAAATATTTCGGTGATTTTCTTTTGCGTGGATACCCTGTATATTTGTATTTTATATAAAATCAAAAGATTTAAAGTTAATACTCTTAAAGAGGATAGAAATTAACGAGAATATATAATACAATTTCCTTTGAAATTAGATACACGGTATAGTTACGTAGCAGTGATGTATTAGGGATAAGTGCATTCGATCATATGATAGTTTTCACACACAGTTACACGACCAGGTTGCAAATATGCTTTGAGTTTCTAACCAAATCATAGCAAACCTCAAACCTCAAACCGTGCCATTGATCTTTGAACTATCCGATAGAATATATATAATTACATTAAATTACCATTTTTTATATAATGAAAATAGGACGATTGGATAAGTAATATTTTATTTGGTTATATAACAAAGTTTTTTTTAGCAAAAGATTATTTTTCTGTTAGGAAAACAAAGAATCGATTTAATAATTCGTCGAAATAAGGAATAAAAATAAGAAAACAAGAAATGTAAGGCAGACATATACAGATATTCTCATTCGAGTGTTACGTATCTTGTTTCTTGTCAAAGGAGAGATAACAGTTGCTGTAGTAAATTTCTAACAAATTGAAAAAGAAGCGACTCCGCTTACAGAAGTTTATCGTTGAATGCAAAACTGGTTCGCTCATAGCAAAGAGAATAATTTAATCTGATTCTGAGTTAGTGTCTCGAGTTAAGAAATAAATTTCTTCGCGTAGCAAACTCGATTTAATACTCAACTTTTCGTCAAGTTTATGAGAACCTTGTTAAAATATAATAAAGGAATTTAAATGAGTACTTATATATATGTAATTAATAGAAATGACGTGTTTTATTTGTCTCTAAAGTATGTTCATAATATATATAAATCGTTTTTCAATTAATTATATATATTATTCAAAATTGATTTAACAATTTATTCGAAATATTCAACAAGTGATGAGTAGGCCTATCTATGGTTACATATACTGTTGAAACACTATAATTTTCAGTCAAAGTTAGTATACTAGAGTGCAAAGGGATGCATCCTTTACTTCTACAAGGAAGTTCTTCCGTAAAATTTTGAATGAGAAACTCATAGGATGCACGTCTTCTCTTTCTAATAAGGTATCACCGTATTATAGATGAACTTGTTGAGTGTCCCATGAACTATAACCATATTAATGTTTCCACATATTACTACCATCTACAAACAAACTATTCCTTGTGCTATTTGCTCATCGATATACCTTGGAAAGACGTTCTGAAAAGGCAATTACTATGGAAAACTAACTCTCCTAACTTTCCCGTATTTTCATTGAACTTAACTTACTTATAATCTATTGAACTGTCTCTGAATTTCACGATCGTTTATATTATCATTCTACGTTCAAGAAAATGTGTTATTTAGTAGGGCAAAGCATTAATTATGTTTTTGATAAAAAAGATTTTAGAAGTTAATATTAATATTTTCCTTTATTGAAAATTTTACAACTTACTAATTGTTTGAATTATGATATATTTATTGTTTATTACATTACACATTATCATATATAAATATGTATAGAATATAATAATGTACAGATACATTATATGACATAATGTTATCATATTTTAACAATTCATTTATTACTTATCATAGAAAGAGATAAGAATAGTAGCTTCTTCGAATTATAAGCCAATTGATTGACACTTAAACGCTTTCAAAAAGTTGGAGAATACAGATATCGGAATCATCGAATACAGGATAAAGTTTTTTTGTTCATTGGTGGGAAACGTCTATCCTATTCGTTTAATATTTAATGTTCGTCAGATCGGACGTAAGTACTCGTTGAATCGGTTTTAAAAGTTGAGAAACATGCGAAGTATGCGCGTTATTAACGGGAATTCATGCCTGTTTCAACCATCGTTCCATCCCGTAATTAAAGCTTTGTTTAAATAGGCTTGAAAATTTGAATTTTAGTTGGAAAAGTGGCTGTTGGAATTCGTTTTCTTGTTTTTCTTGTTTTACTTTATTCGCCGACTAAAAGTTAATTAATTTCATCCAAAGTCTTCGGATCTCTCGACGAATCGATTTGTTTTGTTTTTGGTTTTCTTTTTTATAATAAATTTATTTAAACGCATCGTTAATTTTATTCTTTTTTTTTTTTCCCCGCAAATAATTAACGTGAACTCGATTAAGATACTCGAACAAATGCCAAGTTCTGTATAAAGTTTTCCATAATACTCGATGTTTTCTATGAACGAGATTTACTCTTGCATTTTGTTATATTTATTTATTTATTTATTTATTTATTTTTTTGCTTTCATTCAATCTCCTTAATCTAATTAAAAGTTAACCAACTATAAACAAAGTTTGTTCAGTATTGGAACACAAACGATCATAGCACGTTCTATAGTTGTTCGAGACTGCATCTTCGAAGATACAGCTTCAGCTTCGTGGGAGAACACGACTGAATCATGCTATTCATAGTCGAAGTGTTACTCTTGTGTTTAAAGATTATGTAGATAGAGCTTTGTACAAATTGTTCAATGCATTCTATGATACGAATATCAAAATTCGCTTATGTTTATAACACGAACATTACTTGATAATCTTTCCAAATGTTATTCGATTATATTCTTCGATGATTTATTTGTATTTACAAATTAACAAAGACCCAACCCTGTTTACAAGTGTACAAAATATCTCATTAAACAAGATCGATATCGGTTTTTTATTTGAACCTTTCTCTTGTTATATTTTATGCGAGTTAATATAAAAAAAAAAAAGAAATAAAAAAAAAAAGAACGATAGAAATGAATTGTTTATTTTTCAAATATTACAGAATCGTATATACTAAGTTGTTATTTTATTCCATTAAAAATTTACGACATGTCCGAATACGTCCATATAAATTTATCGTAACTGCGAAATTATTCAGTCGAATTGGTCCTTCAAATTTTTTTTTTTTTTTTTTTTTTTTTTTTTTTTTTTTTTTTTT